TTAAAGGAACACCATAATGTCAGGAATACAAACATGTATTCCTGACACCATAGTTGTGAAAACGCTTTTCACCCTGACTTTATGTGATAATGACTATGCCCCTCCCCTTCATGACAGTTTTAAAAAGGGACCAAGCATGGATGTCGTTACAATTATTCCCCACCCCCTGGAAAAATTCCTGCGGACACCCATGCACTCAGGTTGTGCAATGTCTATTGTTTTCCTGATGACCCCCTGTTTTGGACTGTGCTATATAAAGATGGTTGTCACTCAATAAAGATGTAGCTGTATTACCCTTCATCAAGTCTTGGCTGTTGTTTGGGACAAGCTTTAATCACTTTGGCTACTCTGTCCTAGGAGAGACGGGATACGTGGCAGAGATACTGAGCCCGAGTATAGGAGCTCCGTCACAGATATCTTTATAGTAATTCAAATATATGCATCTACCCAATAGTATATATACTTTATACGAAAGTTTAAGAACATCTCAATTTTTCCAGTTTTTGTTGAAATAGGAGATTAAAAACAAATCATGGAATCATTATGTTTAACAAACTTTAATCTACATTTTTGACTCATTAAAGAAGTCACCTTTTGCAGATATGACAGCTGGAAATACTTGTGGTTTTCCCGTCACAATGGATATCAAATAAGGTTTAAGTTCTTGCTGATTCTCATGCAGTATATACCACAAATGTATTGCACTTGTAAATTCCTTTGCTTTCATCAGTCAAGTTCATCCCAAACCAGCTCGATGGGGTTTTAGTCTGGAGACTGTGTTGGCTATGCAGGGCTGGTGCAAGAATTGAAGATTATGCTAACACAGTGTACTAATAATCTTAATTTTAATAATGACAGGAGGCGAGTATTTTACATTAACTTTCTTTACTAACTACATAGCAGCAAAGAAAAAAACAGTTGAAACAAAGAACCAATCAGAGCGAGTCAGAGGATATATAAGTCCAAGCATAACCAATCATTTCCTCTTAATTAATGCGACATCACAAGTTCATAGTGTAACAGATAACATGTCCGATCCAACTTGATCCAAGTTGAACAACGAGAATGGAATTGAGTCTTCCCAGTAATCTATAAGACTTGTTAAACTGAAAGAAAGGAGAGACTAGTATCAGTGATACGGAACCGACCATATGAAGCATATGTCTATGAGTATATATATATATATATATATAAACTCTTATACTGAGTTAATCTGACTAATCACAAGATGTTATCATATAGTAGACATGTGCAATTCGTTTCGGGCTGAATATGTATTCGGACGAATTTCGGGAAATTCGGACATTCGGGTACTTCTGAATGTCCGAATAGCCGAAGTGCCAAATTACCGAGGTACAGAAGTTCCGAAACTGCCGAATTTCCGAAGTGTTGAAGTGCCAAAGTGCCGTAGTGCCAAAGTTCCAAAGTTGCCGAAGTTCCGAAGTGCGGAATTGCTGAAGCACAGTATTGCCTAAGTACTAATATACTTACCCAGTGGAATCATTCTTCCACTGGGTAAGTATATTAGTACTTAGGCAATACTGTTATACAAAAAGTATACAGACGTAGCCAGGATTCAGCTGTAAGCATTTGCAACACTTACAACAATCAAGTAACACACATTCATATAAAATGTAAGTTACTTGGCCAGTCAATGTAATGACAGGAATGAATAAGTAGATAACTCCCTAATTCCCACAGTATTAGGGAGCTATCTACTAAAAGGCTGAAAGACCTAAATTGGTCTTTCAGCCAAATTTACTCATACTAAATAAAGATTACATAGTATTAGTAAATTATACCCGTACTCGCTATACCGCGAGTAGGGGCATGTCTATTAAACAGTGAGCCTGTGGCTGCTCACTGTACAAAATTTTTTTTTGAGGGGAGGGAGGTGACTAGGAGTTTGGGGACCCCTAGTCACCTGCGGGAGGTGGGGTTATTTTTTTTTTATTAAGGGCCCCCACCCAACACTTAGGGGTGGGGGCCAGGGGGGAAGACATTAGGTCCCCCCCAATTAGTTTTTAGGGCCCCCACCCACCGCTCAGGTGTGAGGGCCAGGGGGGAGGACATTAGGTCTCCCCTATTAGTATTTAGAGCCCCCACCCACCGCTCCGGGGTGGGGGCCAGGGGGGAGGACATTAGGTCCTACCCCCTCATTCTAATTTGGAGCCCCCACCCACCGCTCAGGGGTGGGGGCCGGGGGGGACATTAGGTCCCTCCCCAATTAGTATTTAGGGCCCCCACCCACCGCTCAGGGGTGGGGGGCAGGGGGGAGGACATTAGGTGCCACCTCATTCTAATTTAGGGCCCCCACCCCAGGGAGGAGCCTGGGAGGAAGACAATAGGTCCCCCATTATTTTACTTTAGGGTCCCCACCTGCCACTCAGGGGCGGTGGCCTGGGAGGAGGACAATAGGTCCCCCCCTTGTTCTAATTTAGGGCCCCCACTGTCCGCTCAGGGGTGGGGGCTTGAGAGGGGGGGCCCCTTTTTTTTTTAACAGTGAGCAGCCATAGGCTGCTCACTGTTTACTAGACATGCTCCTACTTGCGGTGTAGCGAGTAGGGGCATAATTTATTAATAATAAGTAATCTTTACTTAGTATTAGTAAATTTGGCTGAAAGACCAATTTAGGTCTTTCAGCCTTTTGGTAGATAACTCCCTAATACCGTGGGAATTAGGGAGTTATCTACCAAGCGGCTGCAAGAGAAGTTCCAAAATTCCGAAGTTCCCGAAGTTACGAAGTGTCGAAGTGCCGAAGTGCCTAAGTTCTGAAGTGCCGAAGTGTCGAAGTGCCGAATTGCCGAAGTCCCGAATTTCGGAATGCCGAACCGAACCAAAATATTTTTCCAAGCACATGCCTATCATATAGAGTCAATCCACATTGTAAAAAAAAAACATCAACAATCCATACCATTGTTCATACAATTCAGTATCTAGATTTTAATCTTTAGAATTAGGCTCATCCCCATCAACTCTAATTTACCTCGATTTAGGGTGGGAACGTCAAGACGATAAAAAAGGGGGGGGGAAATACTCGCCTCCTGTCATTATTAAAATTAAGATTATTAGTACACTGCGTTAGCATAATCTTCAATTTTATAACATGACAGGAGGCTTCATATTTTGCTATTTTAATGCTTAGGCAAAAGAGAAAGCGCAGCATTAGAAGACTGACAAAAATAGAAAGTCCAAAACGTCGATTCGCGGGACCAGTCTGCCGCTTGTAAGATATCCGACAGCGACGTGCCTGCCAAAAAGGCTGACGATGCCGCTGCTCCTCTCACGGAGTGGGCACCGAAAGACGGGTCCACTCCTGCGAGAGTGAAGAGCCATCTAATCCAACTGGACAATGTAGTGGTCGAGACCAGACCATGAGGATTAACGTATTATATCAGTAGTTGTCGGGAAGTTGACTGTTGTAGTGTCTCCGTTCCCGACATATATGCTCGTAAAGCCATAACTACACATAGTTGGGGTTCTGAGGTGAAGAACGGGTAGAAAACTGATGTCGAATCAGATTTGTTTCGTCTTGAGATTCGGAATGTGACCCCTTCTGGGCCGATAGTAAAGGCGTCAGAGTCAAACGCCCGTATGTCCGAGACTCGACAAAACGAGTTACTTAGGCACAGTAAGAAGGTAAATTTGGCTACCAGTTGTCGTAAAGATAGCAGTTCGTTCTGAGGCCATCCCCTCAGGAATCTAAGTACCACTTCCACATCCCAGAGATGTTGGTATTTGGGTGCTGGGGGGCGTCTCAGTTTGATGCCTCGTAGTAGTCGGCAGATAAGTGGATCCTGGCCGATTGCTCTCCCTTGAGATGGAATATAGGCTGCCGATATAGCCGACCTGATGACGTTGATGGTGCGATATGATTTAACTTTCTCGAAGATGGAAAAGAGGAAATTCAGTATCTCGGACACATGAACTGTAAAGGGATCTAGATCCCGTCCCACGCACCAACTGGTCCAAGTTCGCCATGCAGATAGATAACTCATTCGTGTTCCTGGGGCCCAGGAGTCCCACTAAAGGTCTTTAGTCATTGACGATAGTTTGTGGGTGTCCCATGCACCCCTGAAAGCGTCCAGGCCACAAGGAGCATAGGGTGTGGACTCCCCACTGGGTCCCAGAGTAGATTTGGGTCGTTCAGCAGGATGATCGGGTCCTCGCATGACAGTTCGAGAAGGTCTGGGAACCAGGGTTGACTCGGCCATAGTGGTGTCAACAGTGTTAGTGTCACCTCTCATCTCCTGATGTGATGAAGTACTCTCGCAATCATTGCGAATGGGGGAAAGGCTTAAGCCCCCTGTGTGGGCCAGTGTTGGGTGAAGACATCCACCGCAGTACACTCAGAGTCCGGGAGCCAGCTCTAAAATCGTGGGAGTTGATGGTTGTTGCGCAATGCTAATCAATCTAGTATGAGTGGTCCTCTCCGTTCGTTCAAGCAAGCGAATATTTGTGGGTTTAATTGCCAATCGCTGGCATCTCTCCTGTGTCGTGAGTACCAGTCTGTGGTGAGGTTCAATTCCCCGGGTAGATGTTCGGCCCTGATCGAGATGTTGCGTGGGAGGCAATAGTCGAAGATCTCCTTCGTCAAGTCCGCTAGTGTTTGGGAACGAGTCCCTCCCAAGTGATTGATGTATAGTACTGAGGAGACGTTGTCCATCCGCAGTAGGATACAACAGTTGGATTGTCCTTTTGCCAGGCTTCGAATGGCGAACGATCCAGCCAATAGTTTCAGACAGTTGATGTGCATCACGAGTTTCTGAGTCATCCAGGTTCCACCCGTGGATGTGTCCCCATCTGTGGCGCGCCATCCCCATCAGCTCGCGTCCGATTCAAGGATGAAGTCCGGATGATTGCCAAAGATGGCTCGACCATTCCATGCCTGCATACAGTTGAGCCACCATTCGAGTTCCTGACGTACCTCGTCCGTCAGTGGGACCGGTTGGTTGTATGTGGGGTTTTGTCTGAGGAAGCGGGCTTTCAGCCATTGCATGGCTCGATAGTGTAGGGGGCCTGGAAATATGGCCTGGATGGAGGAGGATAAAAGTCCTACTATCCGTGCCAGTTGTCGAAGAGGAATGGAGTCGATCTAGAGGACCTTGCATATCTCTTTCCTGATGGCCGTCACCTTAGTAGCCAGGAGGTGGAGAGTGCAAGACCTGGAATCTATTTCAAAGCCCAGGAATTGAATTGTTTGAGTGGGGGGTCAGTGCAGATTTGTCCCTGTTATCAATGAATCCTAAAGATTCTAATAATTGTATCCTGTATTCGGTGTGGTGTAAAGCCAGTTTGCTTGTCTTGCAGAACAGGAGTATGTCATCTAAGTAGATGATATATCTGATTCCCTGATCAGGACCACCACCGGTTTCAGCATTTTTGTAAAGCACCACGGTGCTGAGCTGAGTCCAAAAGGGAGGCAAATGAATTGCCATGGGAACCCGTGCCATAGGAACCGAAGAAGTGGTCGGCTGTCCTTGTAAATAGGGATCGACAGGTGTCTTTGAGATCAAGACGCGTGAACCAGTCCCTTTCTTGCAGGAGATCCCGTAGTACCTTATCTGGCAGGGAAGGTCTTGGGCACTCCGCCAGCATTCTTTTGCGGACATGCTTCTCCAAAGGCTTGCGGATCCAGAAATGCATACATTTTAGGAGGTGGTCAGGTGGAGCCCATTCCCCGTAGCGGGGGTGGCGTATGTTCCTGAGATCAAACATCTATTTTCCCATGGTATCCATAAAGACCTCCTTACGAGACTCTTCGCTCTTCCAATGGCGTTTCGCGGGGCGCTGTCTCTCCCTGGAGGAATAGTCAGAATCGTCCTCCCTGGTGCGACTAGTTTTGCCAGTCGGCTTGAGGGTATCTGAGGCCGCTGGAAGCACCTTTGCCATGGCTTTCTCGAGGGATGCAGCTACAGCCGCGTTAATCATGGCCTGCAAGTCAATGGGGTTCTGTGTATCCTCCATTATACTAGGCAGATCACAGGCACAGGTAGGAGAGGTCTAGGGACCATGTGGGAGGGACTTGTCAAAAGGCCGTTGGCCGTATATTATATAACGCCTAATAGCGTGGTAAAGCAGACCCTTGTAATCAGTGTGGCTCACCCAGGAAAACGGAATTGCTATAGCAGATTCCGGTAGGCAGCACTCTAGGAATTACCCAAACGGGGGCTCACCCCTTGCCAGAATACTAGGTTAAACCTGACTGGCAGTCCCACTCCCCAGGGGTTAACATACCCAGTGGAAAACAGGCTGTTCAAGAAATCACTTTTACAGCAGCGATAATCCGACACAAAATCAGGAGTTTTTACTTGCTGAGAGTTCACGTCCGCGCCAATAAGAGGTTTTAGCCACAATTTACCATATATATAAAACTTACCTTTTATCAAATTTATTAAATTCAGCCTCCCTACCTCCCTGGGGTCCAGTATGGGGCAGATTCTCACTCCTCCAGCGCGCTGTTTAGTATACCGGGGCCGGAATGACGTCATATTCCGGCTCCCGGCAATACAGCGGGTGGAGCAAGGGAGGAGTGAGAAGCTGTAAGAAAAGCCTCCCTCGCCGCTCACACTGCCGCCTGCCTGCTGTCCCTCTCTCCTCCAGCATTTCACCGCAGAGTATTAAAAGCACTGAATTGGGGGTGCCCTGAGGTGCCCAGATGGCCACCTCCTGGGCCCTGTGACAGGGCTCCTCTAGGCACCCCCACCTTTGGGCGCCTGGAGGCCGCTCACCCAGTGTTGGGGCCCAAGAAAGGAGCAGCCCACCAGGAAATACCCCCAGCAGGCAGGCGCCCAAGGTGAATGCCTAGTTAGCCTAATGGTGGCGCCGGTCCTGTAGCTATGCTAAGATTTGAAGACTACCATCTTGTTCTTTTCTTATAGGGTTGCTGAAAAAGCCCGGATGTATGTTTTGGGTCATTATCTTGTTGTAAGATGAATTCCTAACAAGAGAAAATTATTCCAAGGGGTACCAGTTTGGGGCCACCCCTTCATTCTTCACATAGGGATGGTTAATGGGGCCAAGCAAATTAATGGTCCCAGGGCCCCGGGGCATCCACCTTACGGTTAATTCTGCTATGCCTAATAAACTAGGCTACTGTTCCTAAGTTTTCATATGTGGCGTTGAACCAAATGGGGTTGGGGAATGCCCTAGTAGTTTATGATAAACGAGATATGTTCTTAAGCTTTTCAGTACTGTAAGTCACATATAATGTTTAGTGTCTCTTTAAATGTAATTTCATTCCTTTATTACTAGATATTTTAATTCTAAAATAGCATATTATTTATTTAAACATAGGAAGCATAGTGAGTATCGAAACATATCAAGCATAAATAATATCATGAATACACTGATCAGCCACAACACTAAAACCACTGACAGGTGAAGTGAACATCATTATACTGTTACAATGACAATTGTCAAGGGTTGAATATATTACACAGCAAGTGAACAGTCAGTTCTTAAATTTCATGTGTTGGAAGTGGGCAAGTAAAAAGTTCTGAGTGACTTTGACAAAGAACAAATAGTGATGGCTAGACGATTGGGTCAGAGCATCTCCAAAATGGCAAGTCTTGTGAGGTGTTCCCGGTATGCAGTGACTAGTACCTATCAAAAGTGGTTCAAGGAACGACAACTGGTGAGCCAGCGTCACAGTCATGTGCGTCCATGGCTCATTAATTCACGTGGGGCGCAAAGTCTAGCCTGTTTGGTCCGATCACACAGAAGAGAATGTGGTTCAAACTGCTGAAAACATAATGCTGGCCATGATATAAAGGTGTCAGCACAGCGCACTGCAGTTTGCTGCATTTGGAACTCCGTGGTTGCAATCTGGACAGAGCGCTCATGATTACCCCTGTCTACTGCTGAAACCGTCTTCATTTGGGATGTGTCAGTACTGAACCATGGAGCAATGGAAGAAGGTTGCCTGCTCTGATGATTCACATTTTCTTTTAGATCAGATGGTTGGCTGGGTGGATGTGCATCATTTACCTGGGGAAAAGATGGCAGCGGAGGCTGTTCAGGGATATATAAAATACAGTTATTTAATGAACCATTTAAGTTTAGCATTTAATTTGTTCATCATTTACAGAAAATGAGGAGGTTGTGAAATAGTCACATTGCCCTACATGGGTAGGCTGTCACATCTAGCCCTGTTACTTTCTGATTTGCTTGGCTCAGTGGCACTAAACTCAAGAGGTAGCAATTGCTCAGAGCACCTGCCCTGCAAAGACTTTTCAATGAACTGCACTGGAAAATCTGTGATCAGACAGCCACAGAAAGTATGTGCTGGTGAGCTTACAAAGGCTACAGATAAGAGATCTGCAGCTTTTACAAGTTGTTTTTAAATATACCCCCAATAAAAAAAAAATGCATGTGTGTTTTCATTGTAGGGCATATATAATAAATCATGGGGGTTTTTTTTGTTGTTTTTGTATTTGGACAGCAAAGTGCCCCTTTAATACTAATGCACATCCGAAGTGGGTTTGTCTTTCTTTAGTTTAAATAAATCTGGGATTAACTGCTGAATTTTTACTTTTTTTATTTTTTATTGAACATTATACTTGTCAGCTGGCGGTTTTTAATAAAGACGAATTCTTTAATAAAATCTTTCTATGACTTGCATTTGATTTCTTTTAATTCAAACCTATTTAAAAGTTATACTTTACTTAATACAAAGTTGTTTTAAGTAAAACTGTATTTCATGGCCCTGCAAGGCTCATCCAGCATTTTGCCTGAAAACCTTCCCATTTATATCAGCTGCCATTCATTGACATTATAGATAATAGCTTGACACATTTCTTGGGATCCTTCCCAAAGAATCATACGTTATCCCTGAGCAGATTTAAATACAATATTGCCATAGAACACTGTGCAGAATTCTTGAACATGGGGATAAAATATTGACACGGATGATGACATATTTTCTGGCACAGGGATTTAGAAGAAAGATGGCAGTGCCAATGGTGGCATAGTCGGCAGCATTCTGTAATTATAACTCTATTTTTCCTAGAAGATGCAGCTTTGGCACCATACATCACAAACCTAGGTAGGTGGTGATCTTCAATCCTGGAGATATGTACTGCCAAGCGCAGCTGCAACTTCAAAAAAATTGCCTCGATACTGGTGGTCTCTGTCTGCTTGAGAACTTTGATGTTGGTGTGGAGACAGCGTTGGTGAAAGCACTCAAGGAATCTCAGATGATGGCGAAAGGCAACCCACGACTCAGAGCCGTACAGAAGAGTGGTCGGTACGACAGTTCTGTACACACTGATCTTTGCGCCTCTCTTTAGATTTTTGTTGTTCCAGACTCTGTTACACAGTCAGCCAAATGCTCTTTTTGAATTTGCCTGTCTGCAATCTATCTCTTTGTTGATCTTGTTGGCATCTGAAGAGATGATGCACCCAAGGTAGCTGAACTAATAGACTGTCTTCATTTCTGATTCGCCAATGGTGATGTGGGGGTGATGGTAAACTTAATGAGGTGTAGGCTCATAGAGGACTTCTGTCTTCTTTAGACTGACTTCTAATCTGAAGAGCTCAGTAGCTTCTGCAAAGCAGGATGTTGTTCCCTTGATCCACTGTCTTAGTCTCCTCAGGTTAAATAGTAAGCCACCTGTGTGGTAACAGATATAGACACCAAACTCTTCATCAAGGTCTTCAGTGGCCCTTTGAAGCATCAAGCTGAAAAAGATTGTGAAGATTATTGGTACAAGAACTCAAACTTGTTTTACACAATAAGAAAGGGTTCCTAGACGTCATTGCTCTGTCTGACTTGGCCATGTTGATATTCGTGTAGCCGAATAAACAGAGTGAGGGGACGTACTAGGAGCTTCTAAGATTTGTTAAATACCTTTTCTGCTTACAGTGTTGAACACTTTGGGGAGGTCAACAAATGTCACAATGCCTTGTTCTGTTCCCCAAATTTTTCTTGAAACTGTCTGAGAATATATACCATGTTGGTGGTGCTCCTTCTAGCTCTGAAGCCTCATTGGCTTTCTGTAAAGAGTTCTTCTGCAACAGTGGGTACCCATCTGTTCAAAGGTACCCTTGCATGGATCTTTCCTACGACGGAGAGCAGTGTTATCCCCCGATAGTTGCAGCAGTACAGGGTGGTGATTATAAGTTCACAGAGGTCCTGTGGTAGTTTACCTTGTTTCCAGCAGCAGACAAAGAAATCATTATTTACTGTTTAATGCTGGGCCCCAATACTTCTAGACTTCCATCGACTA